ACATTATAATTACTGGGTCCTGCATGGTCACATTTAATTCATTACTTGTGTATTATTATATTGTATTATTTGATAAAGTAATGTGAAGGTCCATTAGATGTACGAGCCCATATAGGCCCAATATAGATATGTGTGTGTATGGGCTGAAAGGGGGNTGACTTTTTCTTTCCCACCTTTTATTCCCGGACGAGGCGGTGCCTTGGGATTCTCATCGTATGCAACATAAAAGGAGGGGATTTTGATCTCTGGAGGGGACTTTCCTCTGAATAAAAAAAGAGATTTATTGGAGCCGGTTCGGTTCCGAAGATCTAATTTTTGAAATCTCCAAAGTTCGGTTTTGTTTCGGAGATTTCTGGATCTCCGAACCGAACCGAACCGTGCTCTGCCCTACTTGGCGTATGCCACAAATGAAAATTTTCCGTATTCAAAAAGTAATCGATATATTATTTATATTATGTAGTGTATTATTCACTATGAATAAATTTATATAACAAAACAAATTTGAAATATTACACTACTTATAAATTTTAAGTGTTTATAAATGTTAATTATGATTAAAATTAAACTTACAAAAAATTCTTTTTAATAGTTTCAATGTCATGGTAGCTATTCCTTTCTTTCTTTCAATAGATAAAATGCAAGTCCTAACAAGAGATGCACTTTGTACAAAGCTTCACTAGCCTAAACATACAAACGGTACTGGAAACTGATCTTGTCTAGGACAAAAATCTTGATTTACAAAAGAACCCACATTTTAACATGTGTCACGCTAGGACAAAAATATGATAAGCATATCAGCCGAGTCTGTCTAAACAACTTGCTAGTTGAAAGCTTGTGCATTTGATGCTCTTTCAAGGGTTCAAACACAATCCTCAGAAGACAAAGGGGATAAAATTCTTTGTTTGAGGAACATATTCAATGCCAACGAGGTAAATTTTTCATGTTCAATCAAATATTTGCAGTTTTCAAATGTAACAGAGAAGTCTGCTAGCTAAGATAATGTCTGCTGGGACAAGAATCTTCATTTGATTTTCATGGGTGTAATAAGCATTAATAATTTAAGATCGTTATTTTTCCTCTNTAATAAAGGAGACGTAGACGATCCGAATAAAATCACCATCATGCAAAAAATAACAATAAAAAAAAAAATAGAAAATATTTTAAAGACCGATATCTTTTCTTTTGGGGTCATGTTAACGTTTTATCATACACATACTACAAGATGAAATACCAATGAAAAATTCCAACGTAAATATATTCCAATAGAATTCTAACAATTCCAGTGAATATTCCAATGCTCACTACTAGAAAATGATGAAATTCCAACGGAAATATATTGCAATAGAATTCCAACGACAATTCCAATGAATATTTCAATGCTATTATTTCCGTTGGAATAATTCCAACAGAAATTCCAACAAAAATATTCCGTTGGAATGAGTTTTCCATTGGAATTTCCGTTGGATTTTGACGACTCCAATGGTAGATTTTCCAACGGTGATGGAAATAAAAATTCCAATAGAAATTTCATATTCCAACGAAAATTCCTATGATCAAAAGCCATTGGAATTATAGCCGTTGGAATAATCAAATTTCATCTAAAATTCCAATGAAAAATACATTCCAACGGAATATTTTCGTTGGAATTTCCATTGGAATATATTGCCATAGGATTTTCCGTTGGAATATGACATTTTTTTTGTAGTGGCTATTGTTTCCGTTGGAATTTTGTAATGGATTCTAATGGAAATTACAACAAAAATATTCCGTTGGAATGAGTTTTCTATTGGAAATTTCGTTGGATTTTAACGATTCCAACTGGGGTGGAAATAAAATTTCCAACGAGAATTGCATAATTCAATGGAAATTCCTACTGTAAAAAACCGTTGAAAAAATAGCTGTTGGAATCATCAAATTCCATATAATATTCCAATAGAAAACTCATTACAATGAAATATTTTGTTGGAATTTCCGTTAGAATAATTCCAACGGAAGCTATACCATTGGAATACCTGTTGGAATTTTCATTGGAACATATTACCGTAGGATTTTGCGTTATAATATAACAATTTTTTTTTGTAGTGACTGGATGACACATTTTCGAGTTACATATTATATGAGTTTTTAAAATGATGATATAACACTTGATATACTCGGTGAACTCACCTAAATGGTTAGCTCGGGCGTGATCGGTTCAGGAGAGCATCAGCTTGGTGTGTCAGGACTTGATCTCGTGAGGGAGCTCCGTGTAGTAACTCGAGGTGCGAGTTAACCAGAACAAGAAATAAGTAAGCAGCCGAGCTCTGTTAAGGGCTCGAACGGATGAGTGGTCACTGCGTCCTGCAGGTCGTAGAAACAAAGGTTGTGTTATCGAATATCTGAATATGTCGCAAAAATAAATGATGTAGCAATATTATTTTCTGACTAAACTGTCACTTGTACGAAGAGTGTTTGGTTAGCACCATAAGCTAACTTATACCTTATTAGGTTAACTTATTAAACTTGCTCTATTCAAATAAGTTTAGTTTGGTAGAACGAGTTTTTTTTAAAAGCTCAGACTTATCTCATAATTTTATTTGGATAGCTTTTCAAATAATCCCGTTGAAATTTTTATTTCAACTGACTTATCAACTATTTTTACCAAACACTTCATTATATCAGCTAACTTTTCATTCATAAGCCATAAGCTATTAGCTATAAAGTATTCGAAATTCACTCATAAGCTATCAGCTAACTTATCAGTTAGGTTTACCAAACATAGCCGCAACATCTTTACAATAAGTTATGAAGACCTAATAAGGAGGTTAATCAAGCATCAATTCTATTTAACATCTCTATAATCAGCTATCAAGAGCTTTACAAGGAGTTTAATCAAGCATATCATAAAGCATATGATTAAGCAGAATAACTATCAGTTCCTACAAATTGATCAATCCTCTCTGAATTTGACCAAATTACCTTTAATGAAACTTTAAACGACATTGGTAATCTTATTTTCAAGAACACATACGAATAATTTATGCATTTTCGCCTAATAATTAACCAAATAAGATGCAAAACGCCCAACACGCCAAGAAAGAGTTGAGCACTTATCGTGGGAAAATTACCACTTTGGACACTCCAAGCACTAAATATTCAGGTAAACAGAAGAGACTCAACTGAAAATTATGTGGGCAACAGTTCATATTAACACTTGGATTTCTGGGCATTAGATAAAATGGTGATAAGATTTACCATTTCCAGAAAAGAATGAAGCTTTTTACCAAGAAGCAAACATCAACTGTAAAACGGCAACTTGAGGGCCAGCTTTTTTTGACTTTTTATTTTATTTTGTTTCACTTTCCGTACATCTTTAGTGCCATCTGAATTGCTGGTAACAACAATAGACCATCCAATATCTGAACCCCACTTGACTATTGCAACACTTTCTTTTCAAGTATGTGTGTGTACTTGCTAAATGTACAAAAAAGGTCTAAAAACATTCATGACAAAATAAAGAATATATTCTTTTGTCCTATACATTTTCCAGGTTTAACATTTCTATCTAGTAGCTAACTCAGAGCTTTTTATCCTATAATTTTGAATTTCTTGACATTTAATCGAAATACTTCAATATTATGTTATTATATAAGCCCTTGTTTGATTCGCAAAATTAGGCAGAATGTCCCACCTTATCCTACCTTAATTACTCATTTGGTTGCAAGGATGGTGGCCCGCTGGAATCCTTTCAGCCCGAGATTAAAACAACTGTAATCCTGGTTTCATGGGATAACTTAAACCCAGCTATTGGGGTGGATAACAACAATCTCTCACATTTGCACTAAAATAATCCAATCCCATCCTTCCAAACAAACGTGGGCTAAGATATTGCTAACAATGATAAGTGCCGTATATATTTGCGTCACGCTTTGGAAATAATCTTGGTAATAGAGAATCGTACCTTAGTCATGCCCACGGTTCCGCCCGTTCTGGAATGTCCTGGACAGTTGACCACGGTCCATGGACCAGTCTGACATTTGGTTTGGGCCAACTCCGAATTGGAACGGCACAACGATTACTCGTAGAAATTCCAATTTCAAATTAAAAATTTAAATTAATTACTTAATTTTTAGTTTTTTTTTCTTCAATTCCTGATATGGGACTTTCTGTTAATTGAACCGGTTCGGTGCAAATCTAGGGCCAGTTCCAATTCAACCAAAAATTGAACCGCGAACCAGAACCTGTCCTGACCGACTTTTGGCCATGACTTATCCCGGTCCGAACTATTTAATTCAATTCGATCCCATGAAAAAGTTAGTTGTGGATGGACCAATAGGACAATATAGCCCGGAAGGAGTAATTAGAAGTCCAAAAGCCAAAAATATATCTTTTATGTTTTCTCACTCAATTTTTCATTAAAAATAATTTGAGTTGTTCTATTTTCGTTATAGTTTTGGTGTCTTCTAACGTTAGTTTCAAATATGTGATCCACCATTGATTTCTCCTAGTGACAGTTATATACCCAAATTTTCATATCAATTGGAGTTTGTTTGCTCAGTCAATTGCGCATCGAAATTTATATGCACAAATTATATTTTCGGCCCGTGATCAGTCCAGCCCATGATAATCTGGCCTTTATCCTATCACTAATGATTAGTGTACCTATTTTGATGAAATTTTCAAATTAATGTACTAGTTTGCTGTCTGCCAAAAAA